AGAGATATTTACAATCTAAATAAGAAACTAGATTATTATAGGCTAAAAAGAGAAAGAAAAGCATAGATTGTGGCGCATTTATTACATGCCATAAAAAGTGCAAACAAAACTTCAACACTAGGCCCATGATGACCTCGGATGTGAACATCTGTAATGTTTTTGTGGCACCAACCTCTTCCCCTACCTCCCCCCCCCCCTTTAGAGTGAGTTTAGAACCCCATATTTAACGTCTCAGAAGCTGAAGATACACCAGTTATCTACAGGATAGACAACTGCAATGAACCTGTCCCACCAACATGCCTCATCCCCGACTAAACTAAATGATTACGGGTGTCTACCCGGCTGCTAGTGGGAGGTAAGATTCCCAGTTCAGGTCGCTATATAGAGAGATTGGATAGAAAGATATTAGCTCTGCTCAAGCTAGCACACGAAAAATAGCAGCAGTTTAAGGTACTCACCCAAATACCCCCCCCCCCCATGAGGATGTATTCAGGAGGTCAGCCTGAGCCACTGTATCCATACCACTATTTTTAGCACCCTAGCTCAGAAAGGGCTAGCACATCTATATCTACTGTAGGTGAGAATCACTCTCCCAGCTGCTGTGTAGCCATACTGCAAGAGGCCATTTCTTGCCCAAGTCCCATCAATCACCAGCTTCTCTGTTAAGGCTGCCAAAAAGGGTGTAAGTACCATTTATGATGGTTGTTTTTGCGGTGTGGACACCTGTAACCGGTCTGAGACACCACAATCATTCTTTACATGGATCACTGAATAACCACCAGATGGTAACAATTTTTACTCACGGCAACTCTAGGCTGAACATGAACGAACAAGATTTTGTATCCAATTACCCAACCGCTTTGCCGCATATTTCTGCCGGACGTAAGAAAGTATCTTCTGGAAATAAACCAAGAGCTTTGGTGAAAAGCGGACGAACACCACATCTGAAGGAACATCTTACGTCCTTTACACAACAGAGATCTCAGAAGCGGAAAGAGAATGTCTCCAGTCTTCCATTGTGAATTTAGTACTGAATAAGACATCATTCTTCATTCAATACAAGGCTCAAATTCATCACCAGGGACATTGCTGAGATCATGAACTCCCAGCACTCAAGCTGGAAATCAATGGAGGAGGAGGGATTCTCATTCTAAATATAAAACCTAAAAAGCATACATAACAGGGACACTAAGTGTGTTGAAGCACTAAAATACACCAGCCTTAAAAGCATAAGCGCCTGTTTTGTCCTTTGCCAAGGGGGTGCTCAACCCCCACTCAACCCCGGGCCCCATCCCCACTCCATCCATTCCCCCAAGCTCCCACCCCGCCTTTCTCTGCCCCCTCCTCCCAGTGTGCTCCATCCCCGCTCCTCCCCCTCCCTCCCAGCTCCCCCTGCACATGGTGAAAGAGCTGACCACATTAGCCAGGAGGCACTGGGAGGGAGGGAGAGGAGTTGATCAGCTGGGGCACCCACAGAGTTGGTGCCTATGCTTAAAAGGCAGTGAAAATTTCCTGGAGCATCTATCACAGTTCAAGGCAACTGCATCTGTATTCCCACTTTGTGGTCCAGCAAGGGCACCCACTTGTAGGCTTCTAGCTCCGCAGCCATCACCTCTCTTGGGGGGAGACCCATCTCTCTTTCCCTTTAGACCAGGGTTTTTCCAGGCTGCACAGTTCCCAGCCTAAACTGCGATATTCCCAGCAAGCCAGACAACCTAAACAGCCAGCAGCTGCATATAGCCTCTGGCGAGAAGGCAGTTAACAGCATAACTGCCCACAGTGATAAGTTACCCACTCAGCCCTTTCTAAGCAAGCACATTTATTATTAAGGTGAAAGCATTACAGAGAAAACAGATTAAAAACAATAAAAAACTACATGCCTGCTAACAAGCTTACCAGAGATCACCCTCAGCTCTAACAGGGGCTCTGGTAAGTGATCATTCCTTCAAACCCCTCCTAGGGTTCTTTCTTGTGGTCACAATTTTATATCAGCTTTCGCTCAGAATACACACAATCATGGATAGTTAATTCTTTCCTCTATACAGCGTTGGCTTTGATCTTGGCCTCAAGTAGCAGGTGAACAGCAGACAATGGTTCTCTTCTCAGGGCATAGCTTCAAAAGGCTGGGTCTTTGCATAATCAGAGGAAGGATTCTCCATTCACCTCCTCTCCAGGAAACCAACTTAACTTTGTCCCAAAAGTTCATTCTTGCCTGGCAAATAGTCCTCTGAAGCTCATAACACTTCCCAGGGTTCACACTGGTCACATCTCCCCCTTAGCAAAGTTACATGAGATCCCACAATGATGTATACATTTTGCATTTTTAATACAGTGGGCTCCAAAGCTATTTCAATTTTATTTAATAAGGTTTTTTTTTTAAAAGGAAATTGCTATATCTTTCAGAGCATCCTTTTGGGATAACCTTTTCATACTGTTTTTTAAAATAGGTTTGGGTGCTGAGCACCCACCCAGCTTATCTTCAACACTTTTGCTTAATGCAACTATTCATGTCTGGCTTTAAATATACACAACTCTTCTCTCAGACCATAGAGTGGCATTACATTCTTCCCATCAAGCAGTGATTTATATGTATCAGTTATTTAAAGGAAATAAAGTCTTGCAAATGCCAAGGTGATGGCGTAACGCTCACTGCATGTGTCTCCCTACATTACCATGTTGTGCAGGATTGATGGTAATCCTGTAACTATTGCGATATGCCTACCTCTCACTTTGCTAGTATCAAAATTAGTGGGATAACTCTCCTCTATGCAAGCCATTCCCCAGGAGAAGAGGGTGAGGTCTCCCACGCCATGTGAGAGACACTCTCCATTGAATCAGTTCATCGAGGCCAAGCAGAGGATGAACAAAGCCCTGCAATTCTTTTTTCGTTGTTTACAACCAAAGAGTTGTCCTCGTTCCCTTGTTCAGTGTGTAGGAGCAGGCATTTTCATTGCTGCTCCCTGTGCAGTCACTGTTCGGTTGCTTTTTAAAGCAGCCAGACAACATTATGGGCCCCATTCCAGCTTCATTAAATAAGTGCAATTCAGTGAGAGCTATCAGGGAGGGCAGAGGCAGGGGGGCTCTGATTTCCTTTCCCCATTCTGATCTGGTAGCATTTTACATTCACTTTGCTTTGTGTAATCAGGCCTTCCATCTAGAGCTAATCATCACTAAAGGTAACTCCTGGAGAATAGAAACAGTCATTGCAGAAGCATTCTCCCAAAGATGTACTGCTCCTCACTGAGTCAATGTCATCTTTCTGTAACAGCAATCACTGAAAACCAAGATGAGCGTGCTTGAGATGAAAAACAGCTGATCAGTGTCCCTGCATAAAACGTCCGATAATCCCTGCACAGACTAGGCATCTGGCGTCCAGAGCAGGATCCCAGAGAGATGAACATGAAAACTATCCACTGCATAGTCCCCAAACCTTTCCCTGACATCGGGAAAGAGACCCTAATTCATCCTCCCCAGCAACAGCTTGATGTTAGCAGAGGAAGGCATACATAGCCTAGTGACAGGCTCCAGAATCTGAGAATCAAAGAGGGGAAAGCTAGGAAATCTTGCTCTAGGTTTTAGAGGAGAGTGTGAGACAGGGAGGTAGGTGGTGTCGAACTCCTTCAATCCCCCACCCTTAGGTGCCAAGCTTAGCACCCCCCAGCTAGCAAAGCATAAAGATCTGCTTGGATTGCCATGCAGTGCTTTCTAAAGATTGGCAGAGCTTTTCTGTGCTATCTACAGCCAACAAGGAGTTTCAGAGGGAACAGGCCACATCCTTCCCCCCCACCACACACATACACACCCACCCACCCCCCAGCTGATCCCCACTAGAGCACACAAGCTGGTTGGAAACCTCACTGCAAAATTTCACATTCTCCCCTAGCAAACGCTTGAGACAGCTGCAGTGACCCCAAATGCAGCAACCCCCTTGAAAGCCAGTTTTAAATTTTTGATTTCCTCCATGGGGTATCTCCTCCAGTGATAAACCCGGGGGGCAAACCTGGGTCCAGAACAGGACGGGGGCCTGGCAGCCAAGAGGAGAGCTGCTCTCTGACAGATCTGGATGGCTAGCTTTTTCAGAGAGAGCTGTTGTACTGCAGTGCCCGGGAGAGGGTTTCATGCTACTGGGCCCATGTTATGAGCCTGGTCCTGTAACACTTCCCATGCCAGTATCCATGGGGCTGCCCAGAGAATAGCCAGGGCGGGGGGGGAAGGGGGGGAGGCTGCCATGCCTTTGAAAGGCTGCGTTCAACCCAAGCACTTGAATTTATGGGAGAGGCGGGTGGGGAGAGCTTTGCAACCTCACTGGATTTAATCCACACCTAGGGAACCTCCCCCCCCCCCCCCCCCGTCACTCCCTCCCTGTCTGCAGGGTCTCACGCTGGGACCCCCCTGGTGCCATACACCCCGCAGCAATCCACTGGGGAACTCCCTGGGGGGAGCCCCCCTGCGGTGCCCTGCCGGGGAACCCCCCTCCATGCAGTGCAGGGAAGCAAGGGCAGAACAGCGGGGCGGGTCATCTGCAGCCAGGCGGGAGGGGCGGAAAGCTGCCCTGGGGGGGGGTGGAGAAATGCAAAGGTCTGATCCGCATGGGAAAGCAAAGCGCGTCCAGCCTGCACTGGGCTTGAGCGTCTGCCTGCAGCGCTGCTCCCTGGCTTCAGCTGTTTGTGACCCCCCCCCCCACACAACACACACTCCCCACTGGGGGTCAATCAGCGCACCCCCGATCTCTCAGAGCCCCTCTGAGCTACCGCAGCTGCGGCACCAAGAGGCTACTCCGGGCTGGCGACCACTAGCCCCCCCCGGGCTACTGAGCGGTCAAGTGCCTTTGGGAGTGGAGGGGGGGAGGAAAACTACGGGGGGGGGCAAAGACTGCAACACACACACACACCCCCTCCCCCCCTTGCACTGACACGTCCCCAGTCAAACCAGCTCGCCCAGCACTCGAGGATCAGCTCGCCCAGAGCCCTTCCCCCGCCCGGGGGCTTGCCTCGATTTACCTTCTCCTGGGCGCGGGTGAGTTTCTTCTGCATGTTGCTGGCGATTTTCCCCGCCGTGACTCCCTTGCCCATCTCAGCCATCTTGCCTTTCCCTTTTCACCCGCGCGGCTGCACGACTCGGAGCGAGGGAAGCCCGGGGCGAGACAATGGCCATCGCCTGCCCCGAGAGCCGGGCGCCAGGAGACGGCCTTTTAAAGACACACGGCCCCAAAGGCGAGGCCGCTTCTTAAAGGGACCGCTCCCGCGGGCCCCTGCAATGGGAAACCTCTGCTCAGCCCTATCACCTATGACTTTGCAAGCCATTCCCCCCCCCCCCACACACACACACACACACAACCCTCGGATCGGCCCTGCTCCCCACGCTGTAGCTCTGGGAGCATGCTTATGCCCTTGGGTTTTTAGTCCCCATTGAAATGTATTTAGGCAAAGCGCAACAAACCCAGAAGCCAGGCAGAACTTCAGGGGGATAGACCTCCGATTCTCCCCCTTCTAAAGCAGGGCTCGCTACTACGTGAGCCAAAAGGTAATCAGCTAGGCCCCGATCTTCAAAGGTATTCAGGCGCCTAACTCCTTTGGGCCTTAGTTTGTAGCAGTGCGGGGCCTCTGACACATATTTGAATGGTTCCGATCCTCTCCAGTAGATTGTCTCAAAACAGCTGTATTAGAATTGGAAAAGGTACAGAGAAGGGCAACAAAAATGACGGCGGGGGATGGAGCAGCTTCCACATGAGGAGCGATTTGAAAGACCAGGACTGTTCAGCTTGGGAAAGAGACAACTCGGGGGAGGATATGACAGAGGTCTATAAAGTCATGACTGGTGTGGAGAACATGAATAAGGAAGTGTTATTTACGCCTTCTCATAACCCAAGAACCAGGGGTCACCCCATGAAATTAATAGGCAGTAGGTTTAACACAAACCTAAGGAAGTACTTCTTCACACAAAGCGCAGTCAACCTGTGGAACTCATCGCCAGGGGATGTTGTGAAGGCCAAAACTATAACTGGGTTAAAAAAAGAATTAGATAAGTTACTGGTGGATGGGTCCATCAATGGCTATGAGCCAATATGGTCAGGGATGCAAGCCCATGCTCCAGGGGTCCCAAAGCCTTTGACTGCTGGAAGCTGGGACTGGACAACAGGGGATGGATCACTCCATAATTGCCCTGTTCTGTTCATTCCCTTTGATGCCCCTGACGTTGGCCACTGTCAGAAGACAGGATACTTGCTAGATGGACCATTGGTCTGACCCAGTCTGGCCGTTCTTATGTTCTAGGGCAACAGTCACATCTGCACATCTGCCATGTCATCTCAGTATTATCAATACCGCTGCTTATTTATTTTACTGCAGTGCTGCCGTGGGCCAGGACCCCGCTGAGCTAGGTGCTGTACAAACACAGAACAAAAAGGCAGCCCTTGCCCCCAAAAGCTGACCATCTAAGTGTAAGACAAGAGACAGCGGATGGATACGGACAGACAGAGGGTTGGTCAGCGTGATGGGCAGCCGTCTCAGCACATCAACTGCCCAACCATTGTTAAATTTAGCACCCATAAGAATGCTAGATACATAGCAGAAAACATAGAGAAGACAGGTAGGGGCCTATTCCAAAAAGCTTACAGTCTAATTGACAGACAGGACGGACAAGAGACCCAGCACAGGGAAAGGGAGAGGCAAGGAAGGACATGGATCACAGAAATAGGCTAACGTGTTTAGTCCATTTAGAAACACATGCATACACCTTGGTGGTTCAGACACGGCACGTGAACAATTAATTGGCTGTGTTTTTAATTGAGGAGGAGGCACACTCCCCTTTGTAGACAGAGCTGCAGTCTCAGGGCTTGTCTATGGAACACCGACAGACCCAGGTCGTCAGCGGGCAGGATCGAACCTGGGACCTCTGGAGTTAAATGCATGAGCCCCTACTGCAGGAGCTAAGAACCACATGGTTCTTAGCTAAGGATGTAGAGCAGACTCATTAATCTCTCTCTAAGTCAGGGGTGGCCAACCTGCAACTCCGGGGCTGGAGCTACAGGTGCCAACTTTCCAATGTGCCAGGGGGAGCTCGCTGCTCAACCCCTGGCTCTGCCACAGGCCCTGCCCCCACTCCACCCCTTCCCGTGCCCTCCCCTGAGCCTGCTATGCCCTCGCTCCTCCCCCTCCCTCCCAGAGCCTCCTGCACGCCACGAAACAGCTGATTGGGAGGTGAGGGGGGCGGGGAGGCGCTGATCGGCGGGGCTGCCAGTGGGCGGGAGGCGCTGGGAGCGGGGCGCTGATAGGGGCTGCTGACATATTACTGTGGCTCTTTGGCAATGTCCATTGGTAAATTCTGGCTCCTTCTCAGGCTGGCCACCCCTGCTCTAAGTGGTCTCGGTGCCATAAGAGAGGACAGAACACCATACCCAGGAGGTGTGTGGGGTTACCTCTACACTTACAGCTGTCAGAGTAACAGCCGTGTTAGTCTGTATTCGCAAAAAGAAAAGGAGGACTTGTGGCACCTTAGAGACTGACCAATTTATTTGAGCATAAGCTTTCGTGAGCTACAGCTCACTTCATCGGATGCTGTAGCTCACGAAAGCTTATGCTCAAATAAATTGGTTAGTCTCTAAGGTGCCCCAAGTCCTCCTTTTCTACTTACAGCTGTAGCACTTAGTGTAGATGCTACTTATGCCGACAGGAGAGGTTCTCCTGTTGGCATAGGTACTCCACCTCCCTGAGAGGCAGTGGCTATGTCAACAGGAGAAGCCATCCCGTGGACGTGGGGCTATCTACACCAGGGGTTAGGTCAGGATAACTCCGTCGCTCAGGGAAGGGGAAGTCTGAACCTGACACAAAGTGCAACAGGGAGTCAGTGAAGTGGCTCGGTGAGCCGCGTGATGTGGGCAAACCAAAGGATGTGAAGGCAGGCTGGAGTGAAAAGAGGTTAATACCTGAGGCCTAGTAGAAGACCAGATCACTGGCAAGGGACAGAGCAATCGGGAGGGAGCGCTCTGGAGTGGTAAAGGAAGAAGGCAGAGTTTGGTCACAGCCTGGATATAGGGGGAGAATGAGAGGGAGGAGGCAAAGAGGACCCCAAGGTTGCGTTCTTGGGCTTATGGGAGGATGGGGGTGTTATCCACAGCAATGAAGACTGAGAATGTGGAGGGGGGGACCACAAGGGATGAGAGGAAAGATCAGGACTCTCCTCTCATCACACCACACCATAATACCGGTGTGACTTCATTGATGTCAGTGGGATTACCCAGAGATAAGCAAGAGGAGGAGCAGGTTTAAGCCATGTTAGCTAATAAAGTTTTGTCATTGTAAAATGAACTGCAATTTTGTCTGCTCAGTATGTGTCCTGCATATTTGCATAACAATATTTATGGAATAATACTGTAGAGGGCTGCTGTCTGTGCTATCTACAGCCAACAAGGAGTTTCAGAGGGAACAGGCCACATCCTTCCCCCCCACCACACACACACACACACACACACACACACACACCCCAGCTGATCCCCACTAGAGCACACAAGCTGGTTGGAAACCTCACTGTTGGAAACCTACGGTCCCTTATGAAAACAAGATGTGCATCCCATAGCCTACACCAGTGAGCCAACATTTTAAAATAAATAAATGAGAAATATTCTTTACAGCTGCCTACTGAGGGCTCCATTCACCTTAATTTCAGTTGGGGTGTGATTGATGGTTGAAGGTTTTATTCTGAAAAATAGAACAACCAAACCCTCATTCTTAGACATTGTCAAGGATACAGCTTTGCAGACTTCTCTCCGCTGGCATGGCAATTTGTCATTCTTATTAATTTTCAAAGGCTAATTGCAACTAACTGCTATTGTTGATTTTTAATATTTATAAATAATGCATCCTGCTGCTTTTCAATATATTGCTTGACACCTGCAATTAGATAGTGACTCCCATAGAAAACTGTATTTCACTGAACCAAAAGTCAAATTTTGCAAAGTGAACTGAAAGTTTGAAAAGAGCTGTGATTAAACACCTACACTGGGTGAAAGTCTACCTGGTACCAAAGGGCTCTTCAATCTAGTGAAGAAAAACATGAAGAACCAATGGCTGGAAGTTAAATCCAGGCAAATTCAAATGAAAAATAAGGCACAATTTTTTTTTCTGATGAGGGCGACTAACCATCAGAAAAAATGACCAAGGGAAGTAGTGGATTCTTCCACTTTTAGACTGGATGCCTTCTGGAACAGATACGTTAGTCAAACACAAGTTACTGGGTTCAATAGAGAGGCAATTGGATACAATTCTCTGGCCTGTGTGATGCAGCAGGTCAGACGAGATGATCTCGTGGGCCCTTAAAAAGCTATGAAGTTTAACACAGTATATCTCAGACCTTTTATCATTTTCTTCGTCCGTTTCTTCTTTTAGTATAAATTACCTGGTTACTGGTAGCTAATTGGCTAACCTAGGCTATGGGTCTATGGTACCAGCCTTTCAGTCTGTGGTCAACCAGTCTGTGGTAACTGAAATGATGGCGACAGCCAAAATCATTCCCCGGGGGCCACATGCAACATCTGTAGAAAGCTGAAGAGGAGCTTGTTCCTGGCTGTGTTCAACTTCAAAATTCCCTAAAGCAGAAGTCTAAAGATTCTATTTGAAAGGATGAATTGTTGTCATATTGGACTCCAGCCCCTCAGACCTAGGCCCTTATGATGGTAGATGGGTACCGTGGAGGTAGAAGGGAAGAGAGGGAGACCTTCTTTCATCCTCATATCACAGTTTTTAATCTAAAACAGCGCCACTGTCATTCGGGGTTGGGAAGATGGAAATATTCTATGTGATACCAGCCTTTCTGTCTGGAGTGGCACACAAGGAGTGCTGCACTTCAGGCCAGCTAAAATGCCTGGTGATGGGGGTTGAGTGCAGTGGGTAAGGGTCATAGTTTGCAGGGCTGGGTGGTGAAGCTACAGGTGTTGGAGGCAGCTGGTGGCGATAAGAAACTGGATGTTGGGGGAAGTGGGTTGGCAGTGACATGGGGGCACAAGGGAAAGAGTTTTGGGACAAGGGCTGCAGGGGCGGGGCGGGCACGGATCTGCTCCGTCTGATCTTTGGCCTTGGAATTCATTATGATCGCTGCTATTATTATCAGAAAGATCTCTAGTGCACTAACTTTGCAGGGCACTTCACAGAGATTAGAAAGACATGGGCCTGAAGAATTCCTGCTCACCAAAGAACAAAGTGATAACAGGCTCAGGAGGTGGGTAATAAAGGTAGTAATGTAAACCAGCTCTATCAAGTTAATCAGTCCTGCAGTAAAACAAACAGTCC